ATATACTTAGCAGTTGATACACAAGAAAACATAAATTAGAATGTACAATACTAAAATACACACAAGGTGAATGGGCAAACAGATTAACACAAAAACAGCTACTGTGAAGAGAGCACACACGAGGAACTCCCTCCGTTCAACGGGCCCTGGCCTGCTCCATGTCTCCCGCCCGCCCTACCATCGGTGGCCGGGTTTTCAGACCCTTCTCTTCGACTGTGCCTTTGGTCGCCCTCCCACCTCTCTGCTTTCCCTCATCCCTCCCCCACCCCTCCCCCATGCTCGGGCCCCGACACCTGACTGTTTAGCGCTTTGGGACGTCCTCCTGACGTAAAAGGCACTCTATAAATGTAATTTTGGTATTTGACTCACATTGCAAGCAGAGAAAGCAGTGTAGCCACATAGTGCGGGGTGTATGGCAAAGGGGGAAATCAGGTACGTACACAATGCAGCGAGGAAGACAAGTGTATACCATAGGGACACAACCACGACACGTAATAATGCTGCTTAGATAGTTTCCTTATTAGTGTTCACTCCTGCTACACACAATCTGTACCTTCAGACAATTTGTGCTTATGTACTCAAAAATCAATATACTCTGCAAACATTTGAACGCCAGCTGTAAAAGGTGCTTGACATCAGCAAATATTGTTATAATACAGATGGGCTGGCAGGCAAGACAAAAATAGATTGAACACATTAAATTAACATGTAAATGGTCATCAACATAAGACTATCACAAGACAAACTAACAACAAAATAGCATAGAACAACACTTCTGTTTACACTCAAACCAGGGAAACAGCTACAGGTTGCTAACATCTCTTTGACTATGCATTTCCCTGTGGTTGATGTGGACTTGGAAACACCAAGAGACCCAAATTTTCAGATGGTCTTACCCATGAAACCAGTGTACAATTTAAAATTATGCATATTTTTAGATATTTTTAAATTGAATTTAGATCATGGAAAACCAGCTTCCAAATTACAGTTCAATTTAATAATGCTCTAAACCTCTGAACAATCTTAAATTTTAAGACAATTATCTTAAGGCTAAGACCATGGGAAATGTTGGATCTCAGGTGAAGAGAGGATCAGGCTTGGCTCCAAATGCATTCTTCACAAAATAGTTAAGTAGCCTGACAACACTCACTGTGTCAGCTCACAAGTGACACATGACCATTTGGGCAGAGTATTAGAGGGAAATTAATAACATCCAATGGAATTAGACCCCTGAAAGTCAGTGTCCTCGGAGAAGATTTTTTAAAATAAAGTAATATCTTCAACAGAAACACAACCTACCGAAGAACAGATTTTTTTCCTTACTTTGGACTAATTTACTCCCTCAAAAAAACACTGCTGTCTAGATTCCAGTTGGAAGGAACAAGTTTGTTGTATGAAAAGGGGGAGAAGACTGTGATCTAAGCCCTACATAGTACTAATATATCAGCTTCAAATTTTTGATGCCAACACTTTCACTCTGGTCAAACTTTCCAAGAAAAATCCAGAGCGATCTTGCAAGATTGGAAGATAAATCTAGTCGTACTAGTAAAAAATACTGTGGTTGTCTTGCCAATAATTGTCACAGACTTCCCTTTTGACAGGAAGTACTTTACACCCCTTCTACGGAATTATTGTGCTATTCTTTGAAACAATGAGAAGAAGAATTGCACTCTTTAGAGCAAGTACTGTAGAAACAATGTTTTGTAGTGGCTGGCTAGAAAGTTTCAGATATATACCAAGTTACTATCTCACAAGAAAAAGTCTGGTTGCCACAGGATCTTTACAATAAAACCTTGACCTACAGGAAGTTTACACATTTAAGAGTGGATATGGTGTCAATTAGCTGTCAATGCTAGTTCCTGAATTTTATTTTGGTCAGCCAGGTATCTGACATATGTGGAAACCCATCACCATACTTAAGAGTATCCAAACCAGCCTAAGATTTCCATGCATCCCACCTACACATGTAAATCCCAGAGATAAATTGTTGGAAGGGAATGGGGACTCTCTCCCTGGAGGAACACATCCTGATTACCTAATTCGCAGAGCCAAGGCTTGGGGACTCCAGAGTGTGCAATGTGGTACTGCTGGAGGCTAACCAGCTAAAACCGCATAGCTTCCCATTGATATTGCTGTCTGGCAAGCTTTCCCGCTGCTTGTCCAGCTAGGACCACCCTACCCGTTAGGGCTTTGATTTGCAGGGTTAACCGAGTTGAGTGGGTTAACTACCTGTCCCTAGTGACTGGTCTGTCCTTGCAAGTGCTCCGATGAGTCAGGATGGTTTTGCTGTCAACAGCAGTGCCCTGGAGTACTGTGGACCCATCTGGCTCAGGAATCAGACTCCCAAGATCGCCCCAGAAGGCTGGCTCGATTCCGACATTCTGCTGCAAAATTTAGGCACTCAAAGCCTGAAAATACACCTAATTCCAAAATTATAGAGAAATCCAAGTGATATTGAAGAGTTCAGATTTTGCACACTCTAAATATCTGATTGCTATCTCAACTAAACGCAAAATTGTTAATGTGAATGTTTGCTTTTAAGCTCAATCTGGGCTGACAA